GTCTTGAGATAATCATATGGATACGCCATAGACTCAGAAACTGCCATCAAGCTCCTTCAAGTTTTCTACATGTTTGCTGTTTGAATGACGATGATACGCTAGCACAGGTGGAGGTTTCTGTTCAACTCAAAAATACAGTGATCTTTCTTGTTCTGAGAAGGAAAGATGATTAAAAATGAGTAGCTTGAATGCAAACGGGAGATTTGATTAACTGTGGTTGACATCGCAAGTAGATACACAGTTGAATCAAATGCAATGCCGTTGCAGGCAATAATCAATAATTCAATAGCATCCGGTTCGCCTGTTACCATCCTCCAAACTTCCAAGAGTTTGGTTTACAAAATAAAAGACATGTCAAAAAGGCTTTTAACTTCCATACTTGCTTCTTATGATGATGAATTGAACACTGAAAACATGCTATGCAACTTGAACCAAGGAAAAAAGATTATATATGATTGAAATGCAGCAACGTGAGTGAAGGGAGGGAGGGAGGGAGGAAGGGAGGGAAACTTATGATGGTATATGGAATCAGACAGCCAGCAAAGAGGTCAAGGTGCATAAAAGGGCATGCGAGGGAGTGAAACTGGAAGCATGCATATAACAACGAGTGGAAGGATATAACAAAAGGCAGTTGGAATGTTTAAAAGAGCATGGGAGGGAGTGAAACCGGAAGCATGTGACTTACACCAGACTCCAACTGATATGGTTGCAATGTTTAAAATTAACACCGAGAGGGCCTCATAAGAAAAAGGCAGTTGGACTTCAATTTGATAACTAGGAAAAATGAGGTCATGATAGATAGCATGGACGTAACATAGTAAGGAGTTGAAAGATATAGCAAGAGTAGAAGTGAGCTTAGAAGGGACAAAAAGAAAGAAACAAAGCATAAAGTTATGTCTTTAGCTATGGATTGGAAGGTGAAGTTTGATAAGAAATTGTTGAGTACAAGGTTGAACAACTTATTTACAACACAAAGAGCTAATTGCAATCCTATGCTAAATTTCAATATAGCATCCGACTTATATCACTAATGGGAAGCATGAAGTTAATCAGGTTGATCGTAAAACACATCTACATGTGAGAATTTGTGCTGCCTCTATAAAGTCATAAAGCAGATTTAACTTCAGGTAGAACTCTGTACATGGAAACCTTATTTTCAGTACTGAACTATCCATGAAATTGAAGTCTCATAATCTAATAACACCCTTTATTTTTCCTAACATTTTACTTTTATGATATATTGTGTGAACAGATAACCAAAAAAATTAGACATTGTTATCCTCTACAGCATATAGATCATAGGTTAACACAATAATGATTTTTGAGTCATCAAAATATTTAAAGCAGTTCTACTGACAACAGTAACTTCTAATCATTCAGTTGCAAGCTTCATACCCCTCGTTGTATCCGACTAATTACCGTGGCTATATCCAAATGGCCATCCTCAGAGAACAAAGCATGCCATCTTCTTGTACTGAGAGTTCTTCCAGTCTGAAAAAAGCAAATGTTTTAGTTCACATTACCTAATAAAGAAATGTCTTAGAAATTAGAAGTACCATGTGATTTTGCAATCAGGAACACTGTAATGATATTTCAGTTTATTTGGGAGAATGCATTGTGCAAAAGGATGCCAATGCAGGTGATATTAATACAATACAACTCATCTTCGGTCATGAGTCGTGACATAGATTTGGAGGAAATGTGAATACATGTAATCAATGGAAGGAAGCCCGAAGTTTGTAGGCATCCAAATCTTAGCCTGATCAATACACGACTGGACACTAAATCAGTACTCAATATAAGGTTATTTCATGATGCTTGATTACATTCTAATTAAAGAAGCTATCCTTGTAGATAACAAGTTTCAATGTGGTTTCAATGTTTCATTTATTCTACAAATGAATAATGTTTTAGAGAGCATGTTGATTTGTACTTTCATGTCGCTCTTTATAGTCTATGTTATTATCCATTTAATACCTCATATACTAGATGAGATTCAATGTGAACATATTATAGATCTGGGTTTCCTCTCTCTAACAGCTTGCTTTAGGAATGAATTCTTCAAGATCTCTGTCTCGCTTTTAGGGGTGAATTCTTCAAGATCTCTGTCTAATGGTATCAGAGCCATCCCCATGTTTCCCAGTTGCAAGCGAGCGACATTGTTTGTACACCAAATTGCAATGTTTCCCATGGCTAGTCTACTGCAAATATTTGGGTTTCTACCCAAATCTCAAAATGAGGTAGATAAATGCATGTTGACCATGGAAGGTTAAAAGGTGCATGCATTGGAAGCTTAAAGGTTGCTCTTGGAAATTGCCAAGAGTATTAATTGGTCAATAGAAATAGTAAAGGAGAAAGACTGTAAAAAGGGATATGTTAGTATTGCTGAGCTGGAGGATTCTCTTAGAACTCTTGAGTAATAGGTGTTCTCAGATTCTTTGAGTGATGCGGTGTATGATGGTCTCTTGGAGCTCTTGAGTGATCGGTATTCGCAGGTTCCTTGAGAGATATGAGATGTGTGAGGGTTTTCAAGTATAATGGTGCAAAACTTGTATCACTTGTATCAATTGTGTTGGTTATATTGGTTTGTGAAGATAGCGGATGAGAGACCGTGGATGTAGGCAAGTTTGGCCAAACCACGTAAAGAACTCTTAGTGTTCTTTTGTTGTCTGCACTCCTTATTGTGTGCAGTTATTTGTGTGCCCCATGATCCCCAACACAAGTGATACAAACAATACAAGCAATGTTTGCCCACCACTAGTCTACTGCAAAGCCAAATCAGTGATGGCGGTATTGCAATTCTGGCCAGCTATTCTAGTTCAAACCTTAGCTCGCATGAGCATCGAGGTTGCAGAAGCATAGTGGTGTATTAGGATTCATTTAGTTCACATTCTCTAATAATACAGATTTGTGTTCTTTCCAGCAGCTCGCTTTAGGGGAGAGTCCAACATTCTAGCAGTAATTTTGCAGTATGTAGTGAGTAGTACGCACTCCTATTCATATGTGTGTGTGTGTGCATACGTATATGTATGTATGAGGTATTCACAGCGGTCTTTCATTGATTACGGTTCCATTTCATGATTCTCAGCAGTTATATTTGAATAAAAAATTCACAATTATTACCTAAACTAACAAATTACGGAAAAGTTCACTAAGAAAAACCTAACAAATTCAGGAAACTGACCCTGGGCTTGAAATGGGTCTTGGGAACATCATCTTTGCACTCGGGCCGAATCGCATAGTAGGCATCAGGATCCCAAGGCTCTGCAACCCTCGTACAACAATCCATTCTTCAAAATTCCCTGCAAAAAAAAAGTAATTTTTTTTTCCTTTTTTAAGAATAATGTATATCAACAAACCTAAATCCTCCCCTTCTTAGCTTTTCCTATTCGATTGAAGAAATGAGAGAGTGATTATTACCTTCGGAGAGCGAGGGCGCGTCAAATCGATGATTTCGACAAGATGACGGCGTCGATTGGGTAGAGGAAGGGGAATTTAAGGTTAGGGTTTAGTTTAGAATTTGGGCGAAAAAGGGAATGAATAATAACGAACTAATCTTCGATACTCAAATTGAGAGAACGAAATGCTATTGATATTGACATGAATTGGAGTTGTAGCGCTCGTATCTGTCGTTTGTTGTGTTTTCTTTTAACGGTTGATTTTGGACAGCAAATTTTTGTTTGGATGCTGCCTGGCGCTTTAATGAAAATATTTAAATTGAATCGTTTAGGTAAAAGGTTATACTTTAGGCTAAATTTCATATGAGTATCTTTAGAAGGACCATGATATTTTTTAAATGATTTTTTTTTCGTTATTGAAAAAAAAAACTTCCTTTTTTTTTACTAGACATGTTATAATATTAATTTAACAGTTGATTTCAATATGGTATTATTTTATATAGAAAAATAACCAAATTGATATACTTAGTAGTTAAAAAAATATACTATTACAAGTGAAATAAAAATAACCACATTGCAAACATGATCCTAGTAAAAGTGCCACTTTGGTAATTTAGTCGTTTAATTAGGACTCACTCTTGTGAGAATAACATATAGGGGAAATTGCTTGTAGCCCCCAATTTCACTATAAGGGTTTTACCCCCTCCCAAGACTTTTTCAACGCTCTCAAAACTCCCAAAAGCAAACACATAATTACCTGAGCCCCTAAAACACAAAACCCAAGAGTTAAAAAACATGTGAAGACTACAATACCCTTTCTCTCTCTTTTTTTCATGATGTTACTGTGATGATTTAAAATGGGTTTTTTTGGGGGGGGACATACTAGTTCCCTCCAAAATTTTCTGATGGCGTCAACATCGGCGGTAATACTTTTCCGACGTTTGTTCATGAGGCGAAGAAAAATTCATGGGAAAACTAGTATTTTTCGGCGGAATGTTTGTAAGGAAACGGCGGGAAAGTTTCACCGTCGGGAAGAAAATGGCGTTCGTTCATCGGCGGAATACTTGTAAGGAAATTGATGACTTGAAATTAAAATAGAGTATGTAAATTTATATATTATTGCTATTTCACGGTAATAAATTTGTTGTTAAGCTTATGAGTTTGTGGTGACGGAAGGTTACATGTTGGTTTTGAAGGTTACGTGTTGGTTGTGAAGGATACGCGTCTGCTGTGAAGGTGTTACGTGTTTGTTGTGAAGGATATGTGTTGGTTGTGAAGATTACACGTTGGTTATGAAGGATATGCGTTGGTTGTGAAGGTGTTACAGTTTGGTTATTAAGGTTACGGATCGATTGTTAAGGTTAAAGATTTGTTATTAAGGTTATTGGTCGGTTGTTAAGGTTACTGGTCGGTTGTTAAGGTTACGGGTTAGTTATTAAGGTTACGGGTTAGTTATTAAGGTTACGGGTTAGTTGTTAAAGTTATGGGTCGATTATTAAGGTTACGGGTCGATTGTTAAGGTTATGGGTCGGTTGTTAATGTTACGGGTTGGTTGTGAACCTTGGTAACTTGATATATGAATTTTTATATTTTATTGTTATTTCACGGTAATAAATTTGTTGTTAAGCTTATGGAGTTGGTGGTGAATGGGAGGTTACATGTTGGTTTTGAAGGTTACGAGTTGATTGTGAAGGATAAACGTCGGTTGTGAAGGTGTTACGGGTTGGTTGTTAAGGTTAGGGGTCGATTGTTAATGTTAAGGGTGGTTGTTAAGGTTACGATCGGTTGTTAAGGTTACGGGTCGGTTATTAAGGTTAGGGTCGATTGTGAAGGTTACGCGTTGGTTGTTAAGGTTACGGGTTAGTTGTTAAGGTTACGGGTTGGTTGTTAAGGTTACGGGTCGGTTGTTAAGGTTACAGGTCGGTTGTTAAGGTTACCGAGGTTCACAACCAACCCGTGACATTAACAATCGACCCGTAACATTAACAATCAATCTGTAATCTTAACAACCAACGTGTACCATTCACAACGCGTAACCTTAACAACCGACCCAAACCTTAACAACCGACCCGTAACCTTAATAACCAACCCGTAACCTTAACAACCGACCCGTAACCTTAACAACCAACCCGTAACACCTTAAAAACTGAGCCTTTAATTCATCACCAAAATAGCTATGTCAGCACCAAAGTTTTTACTCAAAAATTTGAACTCCCGCTTCCCCCTTCATTCATAAACTTGAAACCAAAAAAGCCAAAGTAAAAGACAACAAATTTAACTATATACAGTCGCACTAAGTTCTAAGAAGGGGGAAAAGGGAAAAAGAAAACCAAATTAAAACGACGCTGATGGTGGCTCATTGAGATCGAACGACAGTCCCCTCCCACCGACACTCTCGGCCTCCTGCCTCCGGGCCCCAGGCGGTATGGGGCCTACGGGCCAGCTGATCTGGTAAGGTTGCAGGTTGAGATCTAGCGACACCGGCATCGACATTGAAGGCGGCGGCGGCGGATTTACGCAGAGATGGGGTAGGAAATCATCACAGATAAAAAAAGAGAAAGAGAGAAAGGGTATTATGGTCTTTACATGTTTAAAACTCTTGGGTTTTGTATTTTTAGGGTTTAGAGAATAATGGGTTTACTTTTACGTCTCGTTTGGTACACGAGAATGGAGTCAAGTGAGAATGGAAAAAATGTAGGAATGGAATGGAATAAATGTAGGAATGGAATGCACATTCTCATTCTCATGTTTGGGCGCGTCTAGAGAATGAAATGAGAATAACAATCTTATTCTCATTTCCATGTTTGGTATCATTTGTTCACAAGTGAGAATAAAATTTAATTTTCTAATAATGCCCTTACAAAAACATAGAATTTTTACAACATAAAAATATTTTAAAAATAACTAAATAATTCATTTTTTTAGAAAAATAAGTTTTATAGAAATGATATTTTTTTCTTATAGAAATAAATTTTTAGTTGATAGTCATATTTTGGTACACCGCCTTAGCAACAATTTCGGACTTTTGGCTTACTAATTGAAAAATAATTTTTATAGAAATTATTTTTGATTATAAATAATTATAATTCCATATTTCTAACTTCTAATGCTACATGTCTATTATTTGTAGGAGCAGCTAATGCTACTAGCATCACTGTGCACAAAAGTATACAATAGACTGAATTCCATATGCATGCATGCTACATGATTTACGACTGAATTCCATGTGCATGCATGAAGAGAGATATCAGAAGAAAACACTAAAATTCGAAGGATTAGTGTTAGACCCTAGAGGAGGGTGATTAGGGTCTTATGCTAATCTAATCCGATTTTAAGCCAATTAAAACTTATTAACAAGTTATCCTAGCAAGTATGAAATATAACAATATATATGAGCTAGGATAAGCAATATGAATAACAAGATATATCCTAACAAAGAGATATAGGTAATATATGTGCAAGGATATATAAACAATACAAGGGTAAATAATCTAAACTAGATAGTGGACAAACTAAATAGTGAGACAATGGTGAAATGAGCAATGAGCACAAATAAGAATAAACGCCAAGGCACACACAAACACAATCAAATGATCACGGAGTTCGGACCTTCCGTCTTACGTCTCCGTTCCCCACTCCCGGGGAGAAATCCACTATCACGATCGGGTTTTCTACGCTCACCCGAATAACGTTTACAACCACACTATGTCGGTTTTCAACGTTCACCAATCAACGTTCACAATCACTCACAGTGTCGGTTTTTAACGCTCACCGAACAACATATACACTCACACTCACAATGTCGGTTTTCAACATTCACCGATCAACGTCCACTCCTCACACTCGGTTTTCTAGCTAACCGAAAACTTTACAATCTCACCCGATCAACGTCCACTCCTCACACTCGGTTTTCTAGCTAACCGAAAACTTTACAATCTCACAATTGTAATAAATAATAATTTTGTTCTCTACAATAGATGAGAACTCAATATAGCTCACTCTCAATTGTTACAACTCCCCACAACCCAAATTATATTATGAATGTAAATACAATAAGCTTAATGGTTGTGTGTGTAAGCAATGAGAAAATAAAATCAAATCTAAACTCAATATAAAAACTAGCTTTAAAGAATGATAATCAAATAACTAAGCAACATGTAAAGCTAGATAGAGTTTAGAAAACTTCTCCAATAAATGACAAGAGAGAGAGAGATGGATTTGAAGCTCAAATATCAATGAATTGATCTCCACTTCCTCTTGTAGAATTCTTCACAAACCAAACCCTTAAACAAACTTAAAACCAAACTTAAACTCTTTTAAAACTTGTTTTAAAACATTTCTAGGGTTAGGTTGAGAACTGATATCAATGGAGTATTTATAGCCTCCCAAAAACTCAGCCAAGAACCCCAAACAAAAGACCAAAATCCCCAAACAACGGCTGCAGAAAATAGCCGTTGGGAATGACAAGACAGTGCGGCGGTCGACCGCGAGCAACTAAATAGCAAAGGTAGGGCTCTGGACAACTGACGGTCGACCACGACGGTCGACCACGAAACTCTCTGGACAGCGTACGGTCGACCGCCACGGTCGATCGCGAGCCATAAAAGAACATAGAGAGTTTCTGGACTCTCGGCGGTCGACCGCAAACTGACACAATGAAAAAACTGTTTTTGAGACTTTTATAAATATGTTAAAAAATAACAAATAAAGTCCAAAAATAATGAAACTTTGGGGAATGTAAATGAACATATTACAAAAAGAATTTTCCAAATTGCATTTCCTATTTGTGAAAAATCATCATTTTGAAAAATAGTCCAAAACATGAAAATGTGAACATATGAGTTTTGACATTTTAGCTTAACCATGTTTTGAAACAATACAAAATAATTTTGTAGACTTAAAGAAAGATATAAACTATTGTTATGAAGCCTATAAACAATGAATATAGTATTTTCACAAATACAATAGAAAATGAAACATATGAGTATGTATATGAAAATATATTTGTTTCATATCTAAGTAGTTAAACCAAATCACAAAAGTAAATATAAAATATGTAATTTCATATTTATCGACATAAAAACCAAAACTTGTGTTGTATATATATATGACTACATATATATACAAGGAAACCAATAAAATGTGTGTGTATATGATATTAAGCTTAACGTACTTAACACACATAATATAACACCTAAACTAAAGTTACCCAAGCTTGATCTTGATCTTCATTGTAGCTCAACTTGGTAAACTTGGATGAAGCTTGTAATTGGATCTTTAACTT